GTTGCTGTTACCTAAAAATGTGTAAAGCTAAAAACAAGAGTAGATTGAGTTTGAGATTTCTTGACAGGATGGCACAGTTTAAAAAAGTGTACTAATTTAAGCATGCAGTTTGTGATGCTAATTAGTGGAGTATGAGCTTCCATTACATGTAAGCTACATTAGCCTCATAGCTCCATTAAGGAAGCAAACCTCAGACACCAGACATGTCTTGACTGAACGGCTATGTTTTGGTATGAGGTGAAAACTGTAAATTAGATATTTTGCTGAACTGTCACCTCAATGTTTGGAAAAACTTTTGGGCTGGAGAGTGGAATGTGCTTCTCTCTCTGTCTCTGTGTCTGTAATAATGGTGTGGCCTTGGTGGGGGGTGAGAACACCACAAGCAGTGATGGGAAAGTGAGCCTGTCTGCTGACGCTGCACCCCCATTCCCATTCTCTCCCTCTTACATTCCCCCGAAACACTCACATACCTGCTCTGGCTCTCAAGGGCAAGCGGCACTGCAGGGAATTTATCGCCGGCTGGGTCATGCCTGACCTTGCTGCCAGAGAATAAATAACCTTCTCCGTTTGTGCAGGGATGAGTTTTTAATTTGATGTTAACTGAGTATTGACCAACTGCCATCCAATATGAAATCATAGACTGCGTTGTTCTCGCGTCGCAGCGTGTTAGTGTCGTATTCAGTCCCAAAACATGAACTCATGTACTTTCTTGCAGATACATTGTCCCTCGTACATCCATCATGGCATATATATCTTGAAATGCCTCTTTGTAAACTGGCACCTCATTGAAAAAACCAGAGACATTCTGTCAGAAGTGCGGATTCTAAACTTTCAATCAACCCTACATTTGTGTTTATAAGTAGAAGAGGAGATAATTTATTGTAGTTTGAATCTGAAGAAAAATTATTTTTACATACAGTCTTTATACAGTCTTCAAAATATTTTTGGCATTGTCTGTGATTTCATATCAGATATTATTGCAACAAACAGAAAATAGTTGGAAGTACAGAATGTAAATGTAATTATGTAACTAATTTATGTAGTTATGTGATTACATGTGATTAATCATGTTAAAGAAGTTGAACATAGCAAAACAACAATAATAATTGCAGACTTCCAAAGGTTATCCATCTTTTGCACTTACATGACTCACTGAGAACAATACTTTTACCACTCCATGCTTCTAAACAATCTAGGGGGACGAAGAAGCAGCTGTAAGGGGTCACTTTTGTTGTAACTGTACTTTGATGGATGGGCAGTTTGTCCTTGGAGGACGTGACATAAGCTCTAATAAGGGCGAAACAGTCCCTGCAGGGGAGCTATGACAATAGGAGTATTCCAGCAGATCCTTCTGCGAATGCCACTGATAATTATAAATGGCTTGAGCCTCTGAGAGCCTGGCAGGGGAGTGTTTTCATAATCCTTAGAAGCTGCAGTTATTGCCAACGATAACAAAAGCATGGCATAATTTAATTTCTCTGCTGTAGTCATAGAGTCAGGAGCAGAATGGACATATGTTACCGTCATGATGCAGTCTTGTTTTGCAGAAAGAAAAAACATTCTTCACATTCTTTACAGCCATGTTCTTAGCTTTTTTTGATATGCTGTGTCAACACTGAAGAATGTAATGCACTGAATTATCTTAATTAAATAAATGTGCACATCAATAAAATATATTTGATCACAATTTTGCCTTTCAGTTTACTCACATTTGGCAGTAACTGTGTTGTCTGTAGGGCCTGACTGGTATGAAACTTTGGTGATAACAATCCTAGAGGCTAAAAACTTCAGTTACCAATAATACCAGGCAATAAAATTTAATATTTATATTTTAGTGTCAAATGTAATTTGTCAGTTCTCAGTGGTCACATTTGTTAAATTCAAATAAACGTTAGCATAAGAAAGCAAATAGAAACTCAGTCTAAAGGGGCCCATGTCATGGAAACCTGGATTTTCCTCAATTTCATGAGATAAGAGAATTGGACGTGTGGAGGAAACACTGTTTAAAGTTTCAAAATGTACCATTCAGTCCTCGGTTTATGCAATCCATATACACCGTGAAATATTTGGGGATTTTAAATTTAGTGTCTGGACTGCCTTAAACTAGTTTAATTACATTTTGAGTTATTTCAACTTCAGATAATAAATTGATAGGGCATAAAACACAGATTCTTGTTATGTTAACTCACAATTCAAAATTAAATTCGAATTGACGTCAAAGTAACGGTTTGATTTGAATTATAGGAGCGTTTCAGCTTGGGCTGCTTTTTTGAATGAAGCACAACACAGGTCAACCAATCAGAACTATGGTAGTTTTCATATATCAGCTTTAAAGGAACAGTAACAAAAATAGCCTGTTTAGTTCTAATGAAAAAAGAAAGGCAAGAATATGATAATTTGGAAATAAATCATGACTATTTAAGGTGTTTAAAATCACACAAATATAAGCGAACCTCATGAAGAAAAAAATAAAATACAAGTCAAATGTATGATGTGGGTCCTTTAAATATTAAATTACTGGTTTTAATTTAAATGTTAAGTATTGGTTTCTATTTTACCTCTTATTTTCCCATTTTTCATCAGTTGTCTTCATACAAGTAACATGTTATTCATGTTATTCAGTTATACAGTTCAAATCTGTGATAACCCCCCACCACCAGAAAAAAAAGCACACAAAAGAACAACCAAATAAACAAACACTAATTATTGGCATGTTGTGGACAATATTTTTGCAAAAACTGAGAGGCAAATCTGCAGGTCATCAGCATTGGCCAATATAACCACCCAGTGAATATCGGTTAGGTTCTAGTAATATAACGTTTCTATTGTCGGGACAAAACCTTGCATCGTCATTTTTGTAATTGTTTCGTTTTTTACAGAATTTTAGAATACCAGCTGCCCTTTACACTGTGTTAAAATTTCATGATTATTGGAACAATAGAAATGGTTCAAAATTACTTTAAGTACTTGTTTCATTAACTTCCATTCAAAGTTTATAATGTTTTTCCTTCCTCCTGAAAGTAACCATTTTGGGGATGCAAGGTTTTGTCCTGACAGTGATGATAGTTCAGTCATGTGGAAATAATGTACACATTTGAATCATGAGTGTTCAATGCATTCAAGTATATGCAAATAAGGGCGCAGCAGTCACCATAACAGTAGGAGGATTCCAGTGCATCCTTCTCCGAATGGCACTGATAATTATAAATGGCTTGAGCCTCTGAGGGTGTCTTGGCACAGGGGAGAGTTTTTAATGAGTCAAACCCCAGGGAGTGTGAGAGTGTGGAGCTCCGACAGGTCACGCTGATGGGGTTGTGGTGATTGACACAGTGGTCCAGCTTTTTATAAGCCTCTGTTTAACTGCACTCAATTCATTAGAAGTTGAGTAGCTTTTCCACTATGCGATTGTCTTGTTTGTGGGGGTCAGATAAGGTGTTTTTCTTGGCAGAACGGTCAGAGCAAGGTGGTCTGCGGCGTGGCAGCCGCTAGAAAACACATTCTCACTTATGCACACACACACATTCGACTCCTTATTGCAGGCGGCGTAATGAGGAGGGGTAGCATATGCTTCGTCATCTGTTCCCACCGTATGCCCAGTCCTATAGCATGAGACTGCACCACACTCACTCACTCATGCACTACACTCAAACAATGGTACTGGAGGCTGAATAATCTGCGCAGAGATAAAAATAATGGTGATCTAATCACTATTTGGCTGCTCAGGGGTACCTTTGAACTCTGCAGTTTTGCAGCGTGACAAAGTCGCAGTCCGGCTTCTTCTTGAAAAGATTTCTGTCCTAATGGAAGGTTTCCTGGTGGAAGAATGGATAAGTCAGTCCCCCGTCCTATGTGCTATGCAAGATGGTCATGAGTGTGTTGCTGTTTTACATGGCTCCCTGTTTAACTGTCCTGCTTCCATGTGTCCATGCTTAGCTTATGTGCTTTTATGTCACCAATACCTGTTACTCAGAATTTAGTGGATCAGCCAAGATGTGTTCGGTGTCTGAAACTTGCTTCTTTAGTTTGCACTCAAGCTATACAGCCTTAATAAGCTATAGGCAGTACTGCTCAAAAGACACCCATGGTTTTTTATAACTATTTATTACTACAGTATTTTTGTGTTTGCCATAGTTATTATTAACGTGGGCAGACGAATACAGTTGGACTGATTTATTTTAATGAAGTATTGATTAGCTGAGGCAGGTATTAGATGGTAACTGTACATACTACACTTCCTTGAGGTGATCTTTAGAAATGGGTAAGATAACATGAAATCACAGCCTATTGTTTATTTATTCATTTGAATGTATTTTAGCATTTTTTTCTCAGACAAATAATTGTTCACTGGCTAGATAAATAGCTTTACAGTATCTGAGAGAGTCGGGGGGGCGGGGTATTTAATGTCTACAGATATCTAAACTCATCTCAGTATTCTGCACTCACAGGCCACTGGCTAAAAAAATGTATAACAAAAAATGGCTGACAATTGACATGTTTGTGTATCTGTGGTAAAAACAAAAACTCAGACTTTCTGGTTTACTTGTTATCCTGCGCTGCTTTTGCACAGTAGCAGCTGTGCACGCTCAAGGGGCAGATTTTGCCACTTTGCTCTAGAAGTATGCTGCTAGAATCGCGTTCAAAATATGTGATGTTTGTCAGCAATGTAAGAGCAAAAGCATCACAGAAACATTTCCATTTCCAGTGAAGACTTCATTATTGCTTTTCACTCATGGGCCCACCTGGTAATTTTGCCTTTGTGCAGCAGTGGGAATAACTGAAACATAAGGGGCTTAACAACCTGTAACCATTTCGCACTGTGTTTTGTAATGAAGTGGAAAACTCAAGAGGTAAGCTTCAGACACCAAATATGTTTTGGCTGACGGACTACATTTAATATTATATACAATGAAATATACATCAAAAATGATGCAATTTTTTTATTGGTCTCTTGCTTTAAAGCTTACCAAGTGACCTGCATATCTCTCTCTTTCTCTGGACAGCAGTACTCTGGAGAGTCCCAGTCGGCTGGATGAAGAGCATCGTCTCATTGCTCGCTACGCTGCCCGTCTGGCAGCCGAAGCAAGTAATTCTACAGTAAGTATGCTTTAACACACATATATATACATACACACACAAACCTCGATGTAATATTTGTTTCCATGAGCCACCTCTGCCCTGGCAACACATCAGTTTTACTGCACCCCCAACTGTGCAGAAAGAAATAACTTGTTGGACATTTGAAAGGACACGTTTATTCCACTAGTGTTTGAACTCTGATGTCCGCTCTGCCTTGTCTGTGCCTACATGATGGTACTGCACTACACTATTATGCACAGCCGTTAGGCAGCCTGTCACTCAGTGTGTTGATTTAATAGCTTGCCTTTGTGCACCGCTTCCTTTTTAACTCCCTTCATCATTGTCTCGCAGCAATGCCCTCCCACTGACCTGAGCTTCAACTTTGATGCCAACAAGCAGCAGAGGCAGCTCATCGCCGAACTGGAGAACAAAAATAGGTGCAATTCCATTTTTGTCACAGCTGCGTGTCTGCATTCATTAGCACGCTTCTAAAGTCTGACCGAGCTCATTATATTTCTGTAATTCTGTCATCGATACTGCATAATGACTAGGGTAATAACTCTTTAAAATTACTCATAGAGCAGTCTATCATGTTATTAGTTATGTAGTGTAGGTCCAGGCTGAGGGTAATGCTGTATTTTAGGGAGATTGATAAAGAGATGCAGCAGTCTAGGTGTTGTTTTATTTGTAATGAGGTGACCACAGTGCATGTTGGTAAATGTTCTGTGTTGGTCGATAGGGAGATCCTTCAGGAGATCCAGCGGCTGCGTTTGGAGCATGAGCAGGCCTCACAGCCAACACCAGAGAAAGCTCAACAGAACCCCACACTCCTCGCAGAGCTACGCTTGCTCCGGTACAAACACCTTTAAACACACTCATGCCCCCCACACACAGAAAACCTCTGTACTTAGCAGAGCTGCAGGTCGATCCCCCAGAGACTGGATTCTCCAACTCCAGGCATTTGAGAATTCAGAGTCAAGTCCGAAACTTTGGTCTCAATTCCACACAGTGGCGTTCAAGTCAGTGGCAAACTGTGAGTGTTACAGCCAGGCCTTTAGTTTGGGCCATAACTGTGAAAACCACCTCTACGATAATGATATGATACAATCGGCTAGCAACCCTATGAAATTATAGTAGTATGTTAGCGCTAAGATAAAGGTGAACATTTTAAAGCTTGTAAAAGACATTCCATGTTTTATTTGAAGCTTGTAACAGACATATTAACATGGATTGTACCTTATATGTTGCAGTATTACAATGACTCTATAAAAAGTGACTTAGCCTTGGCATAGAACTGCTGCTGTTTACCATTTTTAACATCTGTCTGAAACGTATTGGTCAGGCTACCACTCATATTCACAGTCATTGATGTATCTAGGACTTCCAAAAGGCCTACAGTGATATTTTTGCTCACAAAATTGGTTCCACCCATTGAAAATTAAAATGTGATTGGTGGATTCTGTTGACACTTCCTAATAGGCTTAGAGGCTAATCTGACATGTAAGCCTTCAGTTCATCTCCTGCTTGGTAGTATCTACCTAGATATCAGAGAAATAGATGCTCAAGTAGTATTCCACTAGACTCATGTTCAAAATATGTGATATTTGTCACTCACGCAACCTGAAAACAACCTGAAAAAGCAGTGTAAGAACAAAAGCATCACAGAAACATTTCAATTTCACTTTCCAGTTACAACTTCATTTATTTTTATGGCTTTTCACTCATGGGTCCGCTTGGTAATTTTGCCTCTGCGCAACAGTGCTGAACATAACTAAAACAGAAGGGGCCCAACAACCTGTTGCCGTGTTTTACCCACAGTGTAGTACCACTTTTGTGCACCAGAGGGAGTGTAGGAGTCAAATGAGTTCAGCCTTCACTTGTGTTTACAGTGACTGTGGGCTTATAATTGAGGCTGCGTTTTTGTGAGGGATATTTAACCCATTTGTCTGGTTCATCTCTATAGACCTTTCATTGTGACCCTACAGAAAAAGAGAACGATCATTTATATGTTGGTCATCTACCGTTTTAGTCATATGGGCTTAAACTGTATTACTTTGTGAACTGTTGTGTGTTTTTGTTCAGGCACAGAAAGGATGAGCTGGAGAAGCGCATGTCGGCGCTGCAGGAGAGCAGGCGGGAGCTGATGGTGCAGTTGGAGGGTCTCATGAGGCTGTTGAAGGTATAACTAGCTTCAATAGTGTCAGCATGGTTCTTTTTGGCATTGCTTTAGCATGCTCACCATGGTCTGCTGGCTCACAGTCAAACCACTGTTCAGCCATAGACTTCTCTTTTATCATGAGTCTTCTCTTCCTTCACTCATTCTGCTCTCTCTCTCTCTCTCTCTCTCTCTCTCTCTCTCCCCCTTTCTCTCTCCCACTCTCTCTTTTTCTCTCCTTCTCTTTGTTTTCCTTTCACTGCGCTCTACCCCTCTGCTGGATGACAGGATGAAGAGCAGAAGGCCGTAAGTGTTCTTGTGTCCTGGCTTCAGTCTTTTACATGAGGACCATGACAAAGAGCTAAATACATCAGCATGTTTTAATTTAAAGGGGAATGGGAAAGTATTTTTCTAAATTTCTGCATTATTCAATCATTGAGATTGAGGTGTAGTCAAAGTATTTCAAGGTGATTTGACATGAAACTAACTCAGGGAAACATACTGACTTCTTCATAATGGTGGTGATTTCTTTATAATGGTGGTGATAGGAACCAGGAGGCGGAATGTCGGCAACACAAATGCAGCCATTGTATCTTCTGAGTATTTATATGTACTTCTGATGATGATAGAATAGTAGTACATCTGAAAAAATACATTTTCTTTGAGTACTATTTTGGTTTACAGCTCCCTTGCATGTATCTCTCTGCCATGAATGTATTTTAAAAATATGTTATAGGCTGAAATCGTATCTCAGAACTATTGTAAAACGACGTCTCCGACATTAGAAAATGTATTTATATGTTGTAGCTTTTAAACACTTATACATGTAGTGTTAAACGCTTCAGACATCTGATTCTCATCACCATCACTGTGAATGAGTTTCTCTAGAATGGCACCATTCATATCAAACCACTCTGAATAACTTTGTTTTGTGTTGTACCTTAAAGACTTAATTATACAGAAATTTTGAAAAATCACTAGAATTTCCCTTTTATCCCTATGTACTGTATCATGTTATGTCCAGTCAATTACCACAAACAATAATTTGGATGCATTTTCAATAATTTTGGAAAATGCATTTTGGATGCATTTTCCAACAGAAAATATGTTGACTTGAAATACAGTTACAGTAGAAGCCAGACGGTGGGTTCTTCAGCTGCATCGACCGAATGCTACAGATGCAAGATGGAGATTTTGTTGAAAACGCTGGAGAACTATCATTTAGCATGCATAAAATGTAAAAAGCAGTCATTTTGCAGACATTCAACAGAATCAACAGATAGAGGGATAAAAGAAACAGAACAAAGTAGCTACCTATAACAGTGGCCTAGTTTTCTACCTACACTGGCGTAGTGTACAGAGGTAGTAATCTGATGGGAATCTCGTACTACTGTAACAGTCTTGTAGGTCCTAATAACTCATCATCAAGCCAAGTTTACCTCACAGTGCTGAAGTGCTAATTACGAACATTTATCTGAAAGACTTTATGGTGGTCTCTGTGCAAATTTCCTATAATGCAGAAAGGCTAATATATGATATAGACAAAATACTTTATGATTACAATGCTACAAATTGTGTGATACACCCTTTTAGTATAATAAAATACATCTGTGATCCTTTTCATGTTTTGTGATGAAAGATCTGTATATACCTAAAAACAAAACATACTTTTGATTTGATTAGTTTGATTGGTTTAAGTCTTATTTGCATATTGTGAAGACTAATATTGCAATAACAATTGTTATATAACAACATGACAAGCAAACAATATATTGTGCAGTCCTATTATACACTTAGAACAGTTGGACACAGTGCTGTGCATTAAATGCTTATTACTCAGGAAAACACTAATATTAGAAAAAATACAAATAATGCAAATACAGTAACTAGTGACTTTATATATATATATATATATATATATATATATATATATATATATATATGTATCAATGTGTTTCTTTAACCATTTCAAAGCCTGTCCTTTGTAACAGTATTATTTGTAGTTATCATCAAATACCTGGTTTAGTTAATCAGTTCTTCATTAGGTTAAATCAAGTAAGCTGGTGATGGAGTTTGACAACTACATATGGCTCGGACACCATAAAGAAATCTGGAACCTTTTCTAACCAGCTTATAAAAAATCAACTACCTTTTTAAAAACAAGATGTTTTTGTTACTTTTTACTGCATTAATGTTTTGAGTTTATTATAATGCCATATAGTGTTTTTTACAAGCAAAAACACACTTACTGCCTGTTTAAATGGTTGTAAACAATTTGCTTAGGTGCCTAAGACTTTCGCACAGTACTATATGTCCCTTCACTCACTGCAAGGGTGAGAAAAAAATCACTGACCTTCAGGTCCCTGGCAGTGAATGAGCAGCGCATGCTCTCTATGTCTGGCAGAGCAGTATCAGAAAGCGCTGGTATGTAGTTTTCAATAATACCAAGTTTGGCAAGAAGGAAACTGCTGGCAAAATGGGCGTTTTCAGAAACGTAATTTACTTGTGAAGGAAAGCCGTTTACATTGTGTGTAGTCATAAGCACAGCTCCAAGCCTCAGTATGTTTTATGTCTCTTTAACTTGAAACATACCAGGACTCCCTTTCTCTCTTTCTCAACTCTACTGCAGTGCCACATAGGAAGCAGAAGGGTATTGAAGTATACCACAATGACCCGCTAATGTTCAAGGAAATAGGCTTTTAAAGGCCATTATGAATAAAGTGAAGCGCTCTCCCTCTGGCGTATGCCCCTCTAGCCGGGTCCACCTCTTCAGCTTCTCTAGCTAGCTCTCCTAGCTTTGTTCCCGTGCTGGGAGGATGGGCACGTCTCCCTGCCAAATATCAGAGACCTGCTCGCCTTTCATGTGAGCTAACCACCTCGCTTCTAATGTGACTGCAGTCTGGCCGGCCATCTGCTGCCTGGCACTGCGCCACGGCCCCTGGGCCTTGCACCAATCCACGGGACACAGTGCCCCTTTTCTTTAGCTCCCCTCTTCCCCCTCCTCGCTTGCTCCTCTAATGGCACACACATGGCTCTCTGTGAGCACGGGGCCAAATAAGGTGCGCCGAGAACGTATACCGCCGGGACAGGCCCGAGATTTAATGTAGATCGTATGTCTGTAGGTGTGTTAGCGCTGATAGCTTTGTCTCTGTGGTGGCTGGATTTAAGGGAAAGGATGTGGGTGAAGATTCGTGTTGCTGCTCAGCCAGAATCAGGGCAGATTCCTTTTCCTCTGCCAGCAGCTTAAAGCAATTGTTTGGCTAAAAATTTAATTTACACAGTTTTGTAATCATCAGAAATATAATTGATTACCCAAGACATGATTGTGTTAGAAGTTTGCTTCTTCAATTTTGCACTGGAGCTACGAGGCTAATGTAGCTAACAAGTAATGAATGACTTTCTTTACATCTTAATAATTTAATTATGCACATATTTTGAAAATATTCAATTATTAATCCTGAGACTTATTCACTACTAAGAACTAATAATTCAGTAAATACTAGTAACATTAGTTACAGTACTCTGTAACTATAATGAAACTAATATGTAATTCATGTAGTTATCAGGATGAGGAATTGAACATATGTGTCCTTAAAGTTTAAGGGGTTAACTGAGTTCTCCCTGTCCTGCAGGCTCAGACAGGGGGCTCGCCCCACTCCTCGCCCAGCCACAGCGCCAGCTGCACCATGCCCATGCCCATCCGCTCCACCTCCGCCGGCTCCACTCCCACACACACACCGCAGGACTGCCTGGCTGGGGTCGGGGACGACGTGCTGGATGCCTTCTCTCAGGGTGAGAGGGCCTCAATATATACACACACACACCTACACACTCAGCTTGACCAGCATGTAGACAGCAGTAAGGGCCATGATAACTATTGCTTTGACAATAACACGAGAGGACCACGGAGAACAGTTTATTACCCAAAATCCTCACACTTCTCTGTTTCTCAGGTGTACCTAGAAATCTCCGTAATGATCTTTTGGTGGCTGCAGACTCAATCACGAATACCATGTCGTCACTGGTAAAAGAGCTCCACTCAGGTACTGAAATGGTTTATGAAGCATACACTAGAAAATGGTGCTTTGAGTTTACATGATTTAAATGTGTGAATCTGTTGCACATGAATAAAATATGTTACATAAACACAAGTCTTTGCAAAATAAGTAAAATAAAAGAGAGGAGTCATGTTGGTATAGCAGTACAGTAATATCATATTCAGTGCTGTGCAGTTTAGAGACTACCCTTCATTTAATTTCCTGTCCAATTATTAATAAATAATAATATTCTATGATTTTATTTTTTTCCAACATGTTAAACTCAAGAAAACATTTGAGCAGGGGCGTTCAAACGTTTGCATTTGACTGTATGCTCCTTAGACTGCACTTAGCAATAAAACTGAACATAATCTCAATTTTTTTAGTGGATGACGGTCTGGAGGATGAGGAAGTGAACATGCGGAACGGAAGGGACAAAGGTGAGTCATCCTCCTCCTCCTCTTTGGCACATTTTATTCTTGTGTCTTCAGTTGAACACCAACTTCCTCTGTGATTCATTCAGTTTCGCCCAGATTCAGTTGTAAATGAGGAACTAGGAAAGCGAACAAGACATGCCAAAGGAAGGAAGGTGCTCTTTGTCCTAATCTGTAGAATAGAAATCTTATTCCGTTTTCCAAAAACGAGCACTATTATTTGATCGGAAGACAGAATTCAGCTTCCACTTCATTCAGTTCCAAAACAGAGTTCATCAGGCCTGAGCTGTGTTTTAGCTCTCCTTTCTATCTGTTTTCTAGCTGATTCTGAGTAAAAGAGTATGGAATATTACATGTAAGTATAACTAATAATAAAAACTCAATAGCTCTATTCCCTACACATCACACAAAAGTTCAACTCAGCAGTGCCTAAGTCTGGAATGTTTCTGTAGTTAGGAGTGGTCATGACCCCTAACCTTAGCCTGTGTTTTGTCCAGTGTCAGCGCAGAGGCATTATGGGAACAGGCACTCCACCCCCTCATTCTAGACGTCTGGATGTGACTGGCGAGAACCAGCAGCGACCCTATTCCTGGCATTAGCACGTAGAGTAATGCATGCTCTTCCCAACCGGGTTTCACTATGTGAAACGAACACTTCATCACATTTTGCAGAGAGCAAGCTGTATCTACTAAGGAGAATATAAATATATATAAATATATATAGCGCTATATATGTCTTATCTGTATAAACCTGTTGTAATTATGTAACAATCTCATTCATGACTGCAAAGGAATGGCTTGTTTGTGCTTCGTCACGCCAAACTTTATTGATTACCAGTCTCAAAAACGAATCACACTGTGCGTAGTCAGTGTTAGCACTGGAAACGTCCGAGCAATCTCAGCTGCAGCTCCTGTAGGTGTCCTCCTCTTGCTCCTCCAGATGAAGATTTTGTATAATTAGTGATAATTCTTGTGTTATTTGAGTTTTTTTTTGCATGAATTTAAAAACAGAGGAGCCTTGTCTTTAACCTTGCATGAGGCATTTATTTTGACTGAGGTGAGGAAGTCTTCATCCGGTCATGTTCTTCAGAACTGCTGCTACTACACTCAACCCATGATAATGCGCCAGATCAGGGCTTTCCTATAGAGCCTATAGGTGTTTGTCAGGGATCTCTATGATGATGCTAAGTTTAGCCAGTTGTTGCTACGTGTATGTGGTCTAATTCCACTGTTATTTTGTACACCTGTTAACAGCCTTCCAGTTAGGCCATGTTGCATTCCAGCCACATGGCGTTCCAAACAATGGTTCATTAAACAAATACACAGACTATTTAAAGGATAATTCTGCTGATTTCCAAAAGTTCTGCGTAATTCAGTTGTTGAGATGTAAACAAGGGCACACTGATCAAAAATTATTTTAATCTGAAATTGTTCACTGTAATGAAATTTTTATATATATATATATATATATATATATATATATATATATATATATATATATATATAGGGAATATATATGTACATATATACATATATATGCTGCTGTTGGGACAAATCCTTTTATCTCCATTTTGATATTTTTCAGTTTTTGACATTATTTGAAAATGCCTTTTGCCCTTTACATTGTGTGTTGAATGGACCAAAATAAATGGCCAAAAGTGACATGGGAAAAAAGTCTGGTTCCATTGACTTACATTAAAAGCAAAGAAGGTTTTTCCTTCTCCTGTTATCATATGGAGATAAGGTTTTGTTCCGACAACAGCAATATATATATATATATATATATAATATATATATATATATATATATATATATATATATATATATAGTGTGTACATAATAACCTGCCATAAACTGAATAAAATAAAATATATACGTGGGCCAAAAACCTGGTTGTAAAACGACATCTTAGGCATCAGGCAACATATTCACAACCATTGTCTAATATCTCAAGCTTTTAGAGGTATAAAACTCTTCTGGGTGCCAGGTTCCTATCATCACCACCGTGAACAATTCTGACTTCGAGTTTCTCTAGAACAGTGCATTTCACATCAATCTCTGAATCATTTTGTTTACTTCTTAACAATTTATTTATGCAGAAATTTAGAAAGAATGATGGAATTTCTTATCTTTAAGTGAGCATGAAAGATTGTTTAAGGGAATTTTGTCCCATGTTCATGTCTGCGAGAGGACACATTACCTTTGAATGGAGGTGTCTTTCTGTAAAGGTTACTTTAGAAGCTTTTTTTAGTTAACAGTAGTGGTCTAAATAAGTGAAACCGGTGCTCAGGGACTATGGAGAGAGATGGAATGCAGTAGCAAAGCTTGTGAACAAATGGGTGGAATTGACTTCAGCCCAACTAGGGTCACAGGTCAAAGATTAGCACAGACCATAAAAACTTTATGGAGGAGCCTGATTGGCTGGTGGTGGTAGTCAACTGAGCTGTTGCAGGAGGCTGCTGTTGGTCTGCATGGAGAAAAGACAGAAAGTGCAATGTGGAGATGGAGAAAATGTTCTGCAGGAAGGTTTCATGCATAAATATTCGGTTGCTCTGTCAGATGCTAATGTTTTACACTCTTTACAGTCATGTAAAGAGTAATCTAAAGAGTCAGAGCTTCACAGTCATGATCAAGAAAGCGATACTGTACTTGAATCAGATGGTATTCAGGTTCTTCAGAATATTCAGATGTATATAATTGTGTGTTTCTGTTTATTATGGGTTTGGTTGCAAATCAAGAGTAATATTATTTAGCATTATATAAAATGGACAGAAATACAAATAAACGTTTATGGCTGATAATGAATGTTAAAGATTAGATAAATCCTTTGAAGGATATGTCTTGGAAGTTCGGTGATTTTAGGTGTAGGAATATTTACATTATTTAAGAGACCACTTATGTTGGAGACTGTAGATGGGCAATAGGCAATGATCCATTTATACTGTATTTCTACACAAAAGCTAGTAGTTTTGCTTTAAGTCTATGGAACGACTATCATGAACAATAAATTCTTATTATTATACACTGTGTAAAATCAAATGTCTCCTTGGTAACAGTGGGTGTGTTTAGTTATGTTATGTTTTCTTTGATCATTTTTGACATTTGATGAACTTTGGTCATAACTATTAGTGTAAGGTTTACAGAAAAGAATTTGGCAGTTTGGCAGGAACTCGACTCCGCTGTAATTTTTTGATGAATAAAGTGAATACGCATAGGTGGTAGAGTCATGAAACAACCAGGTGTGGTATACAGGCTTCAAAATCAAAACAATAATTAATTTGCTTTAATTATTGCTGTACTATTATGAAGTATGATTCTGACTGAATCATGCTTGAAAGGTGGATATGAATGACCATGTTCTAACATTTGCTACAAATATGAATGCAATCTTATGATGTAGGTGTGCCTAGGTGTACTGTATAAAGTGCTCTATAAATAAACGAAAAAAATATTCTGCACATGTGCAAGTCAGCGCTTAGATAGGAGTTTTAGTATGTGACTTTGTAGGAATGCAATTATTTATCTGTGTTCATTGGAAATCTTCTTGTTCTGCCTTTAAATTTGTGCCAAACTGTTTGCCAACCTTTAGTGTGTCCTTGCGTCTCTCTTCTGTGTGTTTGTGTTTAACCACAGTCTATTGATTATGGATTTACCGAAGTAGTCCACTGAGAGGGTTACCCATAACTGAGTGCTTTAAAAGGTCGACACTACACATGAACAAGTTCGCAAAATTAACCCTGAGGTCAATGATTTACCACGGCTGTACTGCATCTTGTCACAGCTTCGAAAAAGTGGACCTGTGGTGTTGTCTGAGCTGGATGAACCAATACTTTAAACCATGCTGTTGTGTTTCTTTATATGTCCCATTGTAATTCTATGATTTGTTTGCAAGACTTGAAGTTACGAGCGCTTGTTAATTCATTTTACATTCTAGGGCTTTGCTGCTGTATTAATTGTTGATTGCAATGTTTGACATGTTTTCAAAACCATGATTTGTGTCTCTCCAATGTATGTCTTTTTTGTAAATTATTAAAGGTGAAATATATTAAAAGAACCATGTGTAAGCCTGTCTGTTTGCTGGAATGACATCATTAGACCTTTTTGATGTAGTCTAAACGGGTCATTCCGGCCTAAAACGACCATTTAATATGTTATTTGTCATGTTATGTAATATTCTGTAGTGCAGTTTTGCCTCCTTCAGCCTCATTCATTTGACAGAATTCATGTTCACTCACTACAATACCCAGCATGCAATACAGAAATGTCATACAAACAGCCTGCCTGCAGATACGCTTGTCCAAAGGGCTTGTAGGTTTTTCAAAAATTCTTCCCACCTTCAAAACACATCATCAGTGGGGGTTTCTCTAGTCTTTCACCTGGAAAATCTTACTCTACAGACGATTGAGGCACCGCTGTAGGAGGCAAGTAAGCATGTTTTCAATAGATGGTTATTTTTTTCTTATTGGTTGGAGCATCCCGTTAATCCTGTTGGTTTCAATATTGTTCACATTTTTAAAATGTCACACCAGTTTTTTGTCGTTACCTGATTCATTCGGAGTTTCCTTTTTCATTGGCTGCATTCTTGCGTCATGAGACCAGACTGTAGTCAAGCAGGGCAGGTGGGAGAGAGAGACAGAGAGAGAGAGATGAGGGGAGGGCATCAAGTAAGAGAAAGTCAGAGCGAGTGCTGGTGAGTGGATTCTTCTTTACGTGCCTGAGCCTGTCTCAGTCAGTCTGTTGTGTCACGCTGCTGGCTGTGCAGCCACTTCCAGTCCACTGAACCACATCAGCCTACCAGCTTCACCTGCTGCAGATCTCTCTCTCTCTATCTCTCTCTCTCTCTCTCTCTCTCTCTCTCTTTCAATTTCTCTCTCTATCACAATATACATAGAAACATAAATAAGACAAGGAAAGGAAAAAATGTACTTACACTACTGTGCAAAAGTCAGAGATCATTCATTCATTTCATTTCCAGTTAAAATGGCTATTAGGTACAAGTAATTCAACTTTCAGGAGAGATTTCTGAAGAGATCAGATGTAACATAATCCTCTTGCAAAAGGAAGGGTAAAGTCGAGGGAACCAAGTTTCCAAAACTAGAGTTCAAAAAAAGATTAAAAGATATAGAGAAAATGAGACTCCTAACAATTGTGCCAGAGCTGGTAGATCACTGAAACTGTAATCATCAGATTAACAGTACTTAAAGCTTTCATCTTTGAGAGAGAGGAGAAAATCAACCTCCACTCTTGATTCAGATCTGAAAAAATCCACAGGTGTTTTTGTCCATCCTTCCACTGTAAGAAGACAACTCAACACTATGAGTCTGAAAAGATGTGTAGCTGTCAAGAAGCCGTTACTGAGAAAAGACAATAGACAAAAAAGAAGAAAATATGTAAATAAAACAAAAAAGCTGGACTGACTGCTCCAGAGTCCAGACCTCAACAGCACTGAATGTGTTTAGGATTACTGGGATCATGAGGAGCAGAAACTTCTAAGACTGAACTTCGGAGGCGTGTAAAAATATCCTTGCGAATTTCTTTGTAAAAACTGAAAGCAACTCTTTTAAAAAGAATAAAAGCTGTAATAAAGGCAACAAGTGGACAAAGTCAATACGGAACATTTTGTAATCATATTTACTTGTTGAGGCTTCTGCATAATTTTCTATTAAATTTGTTTTCTGCTTTTTTTCTGACACTGAAAAATGAATAGCTTGTACTTAATGGCCATTTTCTTTGGAAATTAAATAAATAAAAAGCTGGTCTCTAACTTGCAACACTAGAAAATAAATTATTGACAGGATTATCGAGAGAACAGTTTCTAAGCAATAATGTGATGATTTGCCTCACAGGTTGTCTCTTAGATTAGTGAAAAACTGCCACAACATCTTGCTTCTCTGTGACTGCAGTGTAGAAGCTCAGGGGAGATGCTGCACACCTTCATATAGAATATATTTTGAGTCATACTGAGTCGTGTAAGAAAGTGCAGCTCTCTCTCCACCACTGCAAGGCTGCAGTGAGAGCACAGTCTGAGTAAAAAGCTCTGGCTGTGCTCACTGAATCAGTACACTGTTAAAATGTCTGCAGATTTTGTCTTTAATGGTTGCGTAATCTTGATTTAGGGCCGAATGACACTGTAGTTTGTATCATTTTTTTGTAGTTTCTGTCCAATATGTGCTGTGTTTTTGGTTTTGTTGGTGCCAATTTGATGGGATAAGATGTTTGGGTGAATTTGTGGTGAGGCTGTTTAGTGTGTGTAATGTCAAAGTGTTTTCGGTCACTGAGCTTCAGGACCAGCTGGTTCGGGGGGGGTGGCAGCTCCTGTCAGTATTCAGCTCCAGACTGGCCATTGTTTTATAATGGAGTGAGTAGGGATCACTAGATTTAATGATTCCAGAAATATAGCACTCTTTTCTGAACACATAACTGTAGTGGATTCAGTTCTAAATCAACCTTGTAGACATTTGGTGTTTTTCTCTGCACACTGAGGGTATTTTGACAGAATTAGGTGGGCTTCAATTTGCTGTTTGTCCCAATTAGGAAATCATTTTGTGTCAGGGGTCCCCACACTTCACTGCTGTATAGTGTGATCCATTCAATCACAGATTTGGTCATTTAAGCCAAACTGTAAGTGGTAAGTCAAATTTGATTGCTTTCTTAATGGCAAAGGTTGCTCTCCTTGTTTTTTTGTTTGACTCATCTTAAATTTTGTCACAGCTAAGTGAAAACTTCCTTCATTTTACTCACTTAGACAGCCGAATGTATTTCTTGCTGCTTGTTTGTCTCTAGGCCTGAAGTCTGCCCAAAAAAGCAGATGTGGTGTACGCTCTTTGATACTGCACTTTGTGACATTTTCTGGTATTTGCAACATAAAAGCCCCGCACTTAAAAGTGTCTCGATTCGATGCCTTCAAAGACAAGTGTGTAGGTGTTGCTATTATATGCTGGTCTGAATGCAGTGCAATTTGTTTTCTAATGCTTAAAATTATCGTTTAGATACAGGAGGTTCTACATCAGCACACAGACAGTCAGTCTAGTCGTTACACTGAGCATGTTGGTGGCAGTGGAGCGCATTATTTAGCCATTTCACCTCAAAATGCTTAAAACAACTCTAATGTTCATTTTGCTTGAATGATTGAATGGAGTGCCAAACAACACATCTGTTACTTCCTTCCGGTTTGAAAGCAGACAGCACACCCATAACCCCTCACGAAACACTATAGCTATGAGGGGTGTAACAATCCATCTGATTCACTGTTACATTATTAGATCAGGTTCAGTATGATTTTCAGATTCTAAAATCAAGATTTGATCTTATATGTTAAAATGCGCTGATTCTACAGAGCTCTAATTATACTATACTATATTATACTCTACACAGGCTGTTTTGACACAGAAGAATTTATATTTTATTTCACAGCAAAAAAAAGCAGAAAAAAAATTGTGATCTTATAAATCAGTGCATCTGAGCCTGTCACAATTATTACTTAATCGCCAAATCACAATTATTTGAGATGATCGCAGTGATCATTTTTCACATAAGATAGGCCCCAACACACAAAGTGTGAATTGAGTGTGGTGGGTCGAGGCTAGTGAATGGAATTAAAGGACAGTAGTAAATGCATTCATTGAGACATGTAATGGGTCCTAGCTCGGTGCTCCATTTTTTTTTTCTCAAGAAAAAAATATAAGCTTTGCCTGGATACACATGTTGCTGTGTAACTGAGACATGTGAGAGAGTACATAGTAAACATAGCTATAAGCAAGATGGCTAATAAGTCAATTTTGCCACTTTTGACTTGTACTTCAATAGATGTTTGAAATAAACAAGAAAAGACAATTAAACCATTAATTACATTTATTTATGCGATATTTAATCAGCGGAAATTTCATGATCATGACAGCCCTATTATAAACAATACAAAAATCTGCTTTGTTTAAAACTTTATGCAGCGTGTCTCCATTAAATAAATAAATAATTAATAAATAAAATGGCATGTAATATAAATATCATATAAATAATAATACAAATATTGTAAGAATGTATTGTGAATTAGTTTAGTCATTTTTTAAATTTGTACAAATAAATAGTTTTCATTTTTAAAAAGAAATGCATTTGTATTTATTTATTTATTTATGTATGTATGTATGTATGTATGTATGTATTTATTTAAACATTTCATTTACTTATTCATGTATTTAGCTACATAGTTACTTTCTTCGTTATTTGATAGCTGGTGCTGTGATCTTTTTTATTATTTTCACAAATAAATTGAATATCTATCTATCTATCTATCTATCTATCTATCTATCTATTTATTTATTTATTTATTTATTTATTTATTTGGACATTTCCCTTAGTTATTCATGCATTTAGTCAGTTGAGCGGTTACCGGGTGGGTTAGTTATTTTCCCGGCTGGTCAGAGAGACGGTGTCCTGGCCGCTGTGCTGTACTATGAGTGGCTGTGCTGGCCCTGCTGTAGGCGGGCTTTAGGACCGGCTCTGGCTCTGGAGCAGCAGCAGCGCTTCGTCTCTGCAGTGGGAGCGGAGGAGCATCTGGAGGAGCGCTGGCCGGCTGGGGAGGTGGAGGACGGGGAGAGACGAAGAAGGAGGATCCGGGAGTCGGCGAGAAAAGAAAAAAACGGGGTCAGGCCTGGGACTTAGGCAAAACGGGTAATTAACACTGCGATCCACTTCTCTAACCCCCCTCTATTGCCCCCCTCCTTCCTCCTCGGGCAGAAACCGAGCTCCAGACGGGTTCTCTGCTCGGGAACAATCGCTAGCCCCTCTGCTCGAGCCTGGACACACAGACAGACAGCAAGGGCGGCTTTTTTCCCTCCCTGCTTTTCTGCAGATGTGTGCTTTAGACATCGCGATGTGCACTTGAACTTGATGACCGAGCTTAGGACTCGCCATTGTGGCCGCTGAATCCACACGGGGGGTAAAATCGGCGCTCTGCGCGGAGTGGCACTGTGGCCTGCTGTAGCTCCGGGTTTTCAGATAGAAGCTCGAGTGGCGATTTTGTCGATAGAAAACTCGCTTTAGGTGCTTTTCTGCAACGGCAGGACGCGGGCGACCGAGCTGCTGCAGACATGGTGCCATTACTTGTAACAAAACACCCACAGCACATCGAGAGGTTCAGCTACTTTCTCTTTTCGCCTGGATTTGTGACCCGTGTTTTTAATAAGAAGCCTTTCAGAGGGCTGAGGAAAGCAAATGATCATGTATTGTTCTCCTTTAGCTCGAATATTCAGCCGTTTCTGTCTTGATTTATTGACCTCTAAATCTGATCCGTGGGTGTCGTGAGGTTTTTCAGGTCTTGTTCTGGTCGTAAAGGGGGGAAAAAAAGATATTTAAAGGCGCACATACTGAAAGTACATACTGTACACCCCCCACCCCCAGCAGCCCCAACTTCTCTAAGAGAAATGAACGTGTAGGAAATAGAACCTGTCTGGAATTCACGTCATTCCTGAGGAGGGTATTAGGGATCCCCTGCAATTCCAGCTTCAGAACAACCATGCAGACTGAGTGTACCCTACATACAGACATACAGCTGTGTGTAGGGTCCCCTGATGATAAGGTCTAATTTAAATGCATGGCTTCTGGAGAGGGGACATCCTGTTGGCTTCATATGGAAGCCTGCAGAATATGGAGAACGTGGAATGCGAGGTCTGGGCGCTGAGTGTGGGAACGGGTGACTTGTTGCCTCCTTGATTTATTGCATCTTGTCACCAGTGAATGAGCTGTTATTCAAGCCTGACGCATTAGAGTGGGCAGAGAATATGTCAGGAAAATTTGGTATAGATGTATTTGTGACACGTTCTGGAAATTAACAGGTTTATATGGTTGGATTCAAAGTGTAGAGCAAAAGCAAGATTAGACAAATGAGATTAGGTCAGTAGGACAGGCTATATTTGGAAGTGCTCTGATACTCTATAGTTTTGCTGGTATTGCTCATCCTGCAGCTATGCCACCCAGGTGGGTTAGGCTTTTGAAACATCTTTCATATTGGATCTTTTCTTGTAGATGTAGCGTTTCTGTTAATTTGTCACTTCTGCTGTATTTCAAAGAAGTGCTGTTCTTATTTTTTCACAGGGGATCCAAACGAGGGAGGATCATTCAGTCATTTTTTTGTTTTGTTTGACTTTTCTGTTGCATTGGACCGCCACTCTTTTGGCGATGCCATCCAACACGGTCACCACCGCCGCTGCTTTCAAGAGCCCCAGCTTCAACTGTGACAGTGGTGGAAACCTGATGGTAAGAGATCCAGGTTGACTGCTGTGTAAAGGTGGGGGTGGGCGATATGGCATAAAATGATACTTCAGGACGTTTTTACGATAGATGGTTCGTATCATGATATTTCGCTTTTCTGAGATTTGATGAGTTGTGAACAGACAAAACAGGTAGCAGTGCCACGTGAAACACTGAATGAAAATCATATAGTTTTTGACAATTTTTTTAAAAAATACTGTCAAAAACTATGAATGTAATGATTTCATTCAAGATTTCACATACTGCTCTGCACTAAATTCAGTCAAACAGGACTAATTATACTCTCTTTTCAGAGAAGCATGCAGTTGATCAGTGTTCTTTAAGTACTGTCTATCAATTATATACTCAGAAATGCGTATTGTGTCTTAATTAATCATCATAATAATAAATATTGTCATATTGCCCGCCCTTATGCGAAAATGCTTAAGTATAACTTGGAATCATTCTCTGCAAGTTGATTTCTCTATATTACTGCAGTGGTGAGGGGTTTTGAATCAGCTTGAATACTATCCATAAACCTCATATTTTAATACATGCGCACTATATGTGAAATAGAGCTGTCTGTCTGTGAAATAAAACACATTTACAGCTTGAGGTGCCAACAGCTTTCACAACAGAACTGTTTGGTTTGCAGCTCTGAGCACCTACAAATGTGAAAAGACACCATAGACCTACTATTGACAGCCACTGCATAACCCCCCCTAGAGCCCTTTTTAAGGGATTAGAAGTGATTAAAAAAACAACCAAATGTTGTGATTATTTTTTCTAAATTAAAATGTAATTAGGAGGAATCTGATAGCAATTTACTCTTTAATCTGATAGTAATTTGCTCTTAACATATTTAATTTTTCTCCCTTCGTCTGGACGTTCGCAAAACACCAAGCATAAGCAGTCCTTTCAGATGAATCCAGACATCGTCGTCTCAGCCCTTTTTTTTGTCGTATGCAAAACCCCCCTCATTATTGAATTGTGAGCTGAAATGATGAATGGCTCAGGCGTGCACTGCCACCGGGGTTACGTGGTGTAAACGTACAACAGAATACGTGTGTAAATGTATCCTGTGTAAACACCCAGGCCTTGTTATCCTCGGTGGCCTTGGAGATACAAGCTGCTCTGTGTCGCACGGGTGTGTGGTGACGTGGGTGTTGGCTTGTGTATGGGAGGCTGCCGTATGGCTGATTTATAGGGGAATTCATTCTCCTCCTCTCCACCCGCCGAGCCGCGCAATGCTCGTAGCCCTGTTGCCTGGCAACAGGGTTTGCCTTAAATAACTGGCCGCCGACAGAAATAGAGCAAAGCTATAGACGGTGTTATTGGGTTCACACAAGGCAACGCCAAATTTCCGAACCCCCCTTTTTGTATTCATTTCTTAAAATAATTTGCTTGCAGGTATAGTGGTCGTGTGTTGGAGGAATAAAAGAGACCTCCAACCTAGAGGCTCAAAATGTGTTCCCTCAACAGACGGAGTAACTAAAGGCTTTTGTATTGATTATTCATAATATCTGTTTTCATTGCAGTGTGGACTAAAAGTGTAACACAAACATCTGAAACAGTACATAGCAAATTAAAACTGTATAGCCAATACACCCCTCCTGTCTTCTGAGGGTCTTTCTTTTGTTGTCTATTGCTGAAACCTCAGCGATCCACAATAGGCATCAGGGTGCATTCTATCTTTTTTTTTTTTTTTTCAATTTTATGTTATAGCTTAGTTGCACTGTTTTAGACAAGCTACTTTGCAGTCTTCTGTTCGAACTATGTTTTTTTTTCTGAAAAATAGGTGAAGTTTAATTAGAGCTCCACAGAATAAAGACATTTTTACACATAAAGTCAAACATCAAATTAAATGTTGTCCTCAGAATCAAAAACCACCCTTACAGAAAAGTCACATGCATTTCACATGTGATCAAATGTGAAGTGTCTAAAAACGCAAATTCACAAGAAGACGTGACATAATGTGAGCATAATGTGACATAATGGGAAATTATGTAGGGTTATGTAACATAATATGGATTATATGTGATCACATGTGACAGTATAAATAAGTGATCACATGTGACATGATGTGAATGTGATCATAATGTGAGAAGATGAATAGTATTTGATCATGTGACACAATATGAATAACATATAATCATGTGACAGTGTGAAGATGTGATTACGTGTGACATTGGGCATAATTTGTGATATAGTAACTTTGAATATGTGAATTATGTGGGATCACATGACATAATGTCAATTACATGGGGTCACATATGGTATAATGTGAATAATATGTGATCACACGTAACAATGTGATATAATGTAATCATGTAATCAAATAACAATGAATAATATGGGATCAAATGTGACAAATAAAAAGGGATCTCATGAAGTGAATGTGTTCATGTGACACTATTATATGAAATTATATGTGATCACATCACATAATATGAACATGTGATAACATGCTATAATGAATAATGTGATCACATGTGATAATGTAAATGATATTTGATCACATATGACAGCATGAAATCACATGTGTGAAAAGTGTAAGTGAAGGAATCATGTAATGAAAAATTCAAATGTGCATCACAAGTAAAAAGTCTACAAGTGGAAAAATGGTTTGAAACATAACATGTGAAGTGTGTAAAAACACGTGGTGATTCACATGTGAAAGGAGTGATTTTTCTATAAGGCTAAAATGTGTTTATTGTCATATTCCTAATATGGACTGATAAGACTACTGCTGCAGATATTAAGTATCAGCATTGCAATGTCCACTGCTAAAAAACTGAAAGTCTGGCTCCATATAGGCTTCATCACACATAAGCATAGCATCGACTAAAGTTACAGTTTGAAACAAGTCATTGATTAAAATTGACCTTCTTAATTAATTTGCAGTGATTACTTGGTAATATAATGATGATAATGCATATTTTAAATTCAATTCCTTTTAAAGGCTTTAATGATAGATTTTATTATTGTACCTTTTTATTAAAACTCTGCTTAATTAATTAATCATTAAAGTGATCAGTAGATATTACTGACTGATAGTGGATGCTCTATTATACATAATTAGGTAATACAGTATTGCTCTGTATCTCATTGTTCATTCAGATAGAGCCTAAACCTCCAGTCATGCTGGACGGCTTCCGTGTCCGTATTCCGATTAGCATTCTGATTTAGAACGGGGAGGTGCTTTTCAAGTCAAGCTCAGGGCTGCGGCAACATTAGGATCATCTTTTCTCCTCCGTCCACCCTAGGGTGCATGGCTGGCGGGAGAGCGGGAGTTGGCAGGGTGGGGGTGTGAGGGGTATAGTTGTGCTAGACAAAGGGGAAAAGGAAGGAGGGGAGAGAAAGAGCTGCCGAATGTCTTTGTAACTGTGTCAAGTGGAAGCCGAGAGTGGTAGGTCAGCTCTGCGGCTATAGAATCCTCACTTCATAGTGGCTAAAAGGGAGGTGTCATTCAAGCGCCAAGGCTATTCTCATTATCTAAATATCTTCGTCTGTAAAGAGAGAGTGAAAGAGAAACCCATTCAACTCCTGCTAATGTTGTGGGGTGTGCTTTTTGCTTCTTCTTCCTCTGGTGTGCACAGTGTACAGGAAGTGTCATAAATAGTAATGGAGATGATCTTATTTGTTCTTGTCCTCTCAAGTTGCCCTGAAACTGTCTTTACTGCCCTTGTCTGGGCACTGCCATGCATTTATATTAATCACATTATGATTTAACTCACACAGCAGTGTGAAATCAACAGCAGGTTACACTGTACAAAACCACTGTAACCTGCTTTTGAGAGATCAGGGCAGGAGTGTTGTTCCTGGAGGACCACAGCACTAGAGAATTTATCATTCCACCTCATTTAACTCACCTGTTTTAACTCATCAGCTAATTGGCAAAACCTTCATAAGTTGTTTTCGAAGTTTTAGAAGTGTGAAAACACTAATCTCTGTGGCCCCCCAGGATGTGACTTTGACACTCCTGGGCTAGGGAGCGCAGATGTGGTGTGTTTTTGTGACATGGACGCTATGTGCCATTTGAGCAGACTGAGAGTTCAAGGCTGGAGAAGGATCTTCCTGCAGCGGAGAGGCCAGCGCTCAGCACTCCGGTCCGCAGAGTGGGGCGACCCGGCCGCAAACGCAAGCACCTCCCCGTGAGTACTGCGGAAATGCTGCAGTGGACATTCACTTCAGCTACACTGCTGTTCAAAAGATTGGAATCACAATTTTCAGTGATATAAATCCAATTTGCCTGCAGATCAATGTATAAAATGAATCCAATGTGCTAGTTCTGTGGAGCTTATATGTTTCAAATACAATCATATACAATAAAGTTAACACATCCTCTACCATCCTCTATAGGGAACACACCTAAATATGGCATTTTTCTGCAAATTTTAGTGCACAATTTCTGTTTATTTGCTGAGTTTAACACTTTGAAAAAAAGCGTAAAATATAAAATGGATTAAATTAAATTCACCAAATAAACAGTTTTTGTGCATGAAAATGTGCAGAAGTGTGTTCTCTGCAGAGGAGGTGTAAACTTACTTTCATTGTAATCAGTAGGAGGTGTTAAGAAATTTTAAGAAATTAAGAAATTTTAGATGAGGTGGGATTGTAATTTGTAATTTGGCTGTGAAACTGTATCTAGAAGAATGCCTCATATTTTGAAACTTGTGATCTCAACAAAAAAAAGGGAAAGTAAATAGATATTGTTCACAACATCCTATTGTCCAATAACATAGTTTTAACTTTTCAAGGAAATACATTATAATATATGTAAACGTAGTGTGTACTAAGCTAACAATGTTGTGGGTGCCAAAACAACAAGTTGCCAAAATGTTGTCACAGCAATGGCTGGGATTTCCCAAGAACAATGTATCAAATGTCAGTGCTCTTTTAAAATAATATTAACGCTCAATTTATAAAACATCACCTTTTTTTTAAAACGCTTTCAAATTTAGAGTCAGAAGGATGCACATAATTAACTTAATAGATTATTGCTTTGCTCCATAAAAGTATATTGTCATATGCAAAAGTTTGGACACCCCGGGCAAATTTCATGTTTTGTTGATTTTTTAAGTGAAAGTAAGTTAACACATCCTCTACAAAGGACACACTTTTAATGCACAATTACTGTTGATTTGCTGAATTTAACATATTGGGGGAAAAAATTAAACATTAAATGTGGCATCTACAAAGATTATGCCATGTTTAATATGTTATGTTTTATTTTTTTCCAATATGATAAACTTAGCAAATAAATAGAAAATGTGCACTAAAATTTGTCAGACATTTGTCATATATGCTTCTTTATTGTGGAGGATGTGTTCAATTATGTTCACTTAGAAAATCAACAAAACATGTAACGACTTTACTTCGTTATTATACCTGTGGGTTTTTGTCCTGAGTAGTGTTTGTATTTGTGTATGTTTACCTGGCCTGTCAGTAGTCAGTGAGGCTGAAGACTGGCTGCGTGGCTGCAGCTCATGTTTCTCTGTACGTGTGTTTAGACTGTCTTGTGTTCTGACCTCTGGCAGAGGCCGTGTCTGGGTCACTGGGTCACCGAGGGTGTTGCATAACACTCATTCGCTATCACAGGCTGCTGACTGACTCATTTGTCTGCTCCTTTAATGCTCACTCTCTCTCTCAGTCTCTCTCTCCGTGGTCCACTTCTTTTTCATTTGACATGTGCCTTTGCTTTTACTTGGCTTGCTCCTTCCTGCCCCTTGCAGGTGGATGTTAACTACTCTCTTTTTTCCTTTTATTTCATATTTTTTTCATAATTCGCTCCCCTTCTTTTAGTTGCTTTTAAGTTATAAGTCTCTCTTCCTCCTAGTGGAGTCTCTTTCACGTCTTAGTGGAGCCATCCTTACAACGTCAACTGCAGCATTTTCCACATCCAGCCGCTGGTAAACATCCTCTGCTGTGGAGCCCATTTTCCTGTGTTTGAAAATAATCCCGGCTCTTGCATAATTAATCTGGAGAGGGCATGTCGGGGCACGCGGGTGCTCAGCTGCCCCACATCCGCCCTTCCCTCCCCCATGGGGCTTCTGATTCTATTATCCACGTATTCCATTCCTTCAACAGGTAATTGTGGCAATGGTAGGAGAATGCAGCCTTCCTCTGTGAAACACAAGCCATGTGGAGACAGATGGTGTAAAGCCTCACTCGTGTCTGTGAGTGAATGGAGTTCCGATGATGGTGGCTGGCCATCTTTGGCTGCCTCATCAACTATGTTGAGCCTACATCCACCCCAGTGGTTCAATATTAGTCTAAGATTGCCAGCCCAACTAAGTTATGACCATGTAGGCTCCTGAGTGGCACATCACATAAGTGATGGCCCTCAGTGTGGGAATCTCCAAGCTAGTGTAACAGAATTGGCAGTTAGCATTCTCCTCCAAGCACATTAAGCTGTCCAGTGATGTTGCGTTAGCGTCCGTTCGAAAAGATGCAGTGGCTGGCTTCACATAATTCAGAGGTAGCATGTACTACCTTTCACCCTCCTAGCACTGGTGTTGTGGTGTCTTAGGGGGAGACCTAGCTAGCAGGTGGAATTGGGTGGACATGACTAAAGCAGGTAGACATTATAACATTGGGGAGAAAATTGGGTGTTCCATAGTCATGATGTGACCAAAAGCATAGTCACAGAGTTTTAAACCTCTGGTAGCCATTTAGCATCGGCTGACGTAATTCTGTTTAGGAGGAATTATGTACATTTGTATAGGTCATATATGTGTCTTGGAGAAACACAAGCATTTGAACTGTGTCCATTTGCGTCTCCAGTGCCTCTCAGGCCCTATTCAGACTTGCTATTAACATCTGTCTTGAGTGATCTGATCATATGTGTACAGTGAGACATATGTCGTTTACACCTGGCATTTCAGTGTGTCTCAAGTGTGTCTCCAGTGACCACATGATTTGATTTTCTGACTGGAGGAAGAGTACTTTGCACATTCACTATGTTAGTCACGTCAGTCTTTTGCTGCGTTTTGTTCTCAGAAAAAAATGTCTTGCTCATGTACATGTAGTGCAAGTAGGAATTTTGGACCCCCGATTTTTTGCTCTTTTTTGTTTTTGTTTGGCGCCGTAATTCTAACTCTTATTTAGCATTTAATGTACTAAATGTTCTTGAAAGTGTTGCATTTTGAATGTCAAAGCAAAACTCTATAATGAACTGTTTTTGACAAGTAAAGGACAGATTCATTCTTCAAAGCCCACTAAAATTTCCAACACCAAACTCCTTTACCCAGCTATAGCATGGCATTCAGTCAAAGAATAACCACATGTTCTGGTTTCAATTTGTACTTTACCCAGGCCAAAAGAAGAGGTGGATAGAGAGAGTTCTTAGTCTACATGGCGGACAGGAGAGACCTTTCAACTTCACCTTCACTTTCAATCAAACCTTTACATTTCAGTGATCAAAAGAACATGACATCTTAACACAAAAACAGAGCATAGCACACTTTTTATTTAGGAGGGAAAATAAACACGAAAAATTTGCTGTAGGACATGTTTACACAGGTCTGTACCATCTTTTGACAATGGCAGTTATTATAGCATAAGCTTCCTTTCTGTTATCAGCTCCAGTGTGTATTGATAACCCACCATTTCCTCTGGAAAACTGGGTGACATACTGCACTCCCTGTTTTTGCTGTTCTTTTTTAGTTTTTTTTTTCTGCTATTTTTGAACGCCAAATTTGCATGACCAGGCTAAACCACTGAGCATTTGCATGGAGGGACAACAGAATAAAGATGCATTGCTGCTGTCACTGTATCTAAAAATAGTTAGTTAAGAATCTTTCAGTAACCCTAAAATTCACATGCAAAAATAGGTACTTCCTATTCTTCCACTCCCTTAAGGCGCCCCTGATGTACATGTAGTGGCTGAGTCCTTGCTCATATACATGTATGGGCTGTTACAAACATTTAGATTGCATGAATTGGTAATGCAACTTATAAAGAAACAAGAGATGCAAAAGCAACAGCATTAGTCTCTGCTGTGATGACGCAGGTGATTGAGGCGGTCTCTTGTCGGGGATATGTGGAGCCTTTTTACACCTTGCTTTAACATGTTTTTGTGTCAGGAATCTGGATATGCTTTGGCCGGATTCCGTTTGCACTTTTCACTAAAATGCATCCCCAGTTTGACCAGATGAGATTCGATCTCAGATAGCAAACATATATTGATTTGCTGGCTTGATAAGGTTGGCACCCAGCTGGCTGTTTGCCACTACTGGTCCACCCTTGGACCTCCTAGATTTTTGTCCTGCATACAAGGTCTAACTAGTTTTTCATATCCTTAAACAGATTTTAAATGCATGTAGCCTTTTATTTTGTAAAGTAAACTAGGACAAATCTTACAAACTACTGAGAGAAAGATAATTAATGACTAGGTCTAACAATAATATAAAATGTTTTTGTTGAAAATGTTGATTCTCACACTGTGCTAGATTAAAGTTATTTATAAAGGATAATGAAACGAAGAAATGTAGGAGAAATAAGTAAATTGGACTATGAGTGGAAAATGAGTGATGAAAAGTGCCTTTTTTCTAATTCTCTGCTTAACTGGAGCCGCCGGGAAACTCTGACCAGTGGGCTGCCAGCTTTGCCAACAGTGGCCTGCTATCCGCTTGTTATCTGGAGATTGTACTTTTTCTGTGTAAAAAAGACATCAACAACATCAACAAGCTCAGCTTGGACACTTTTATCTGCTCAGAGCGCAAGAAGGCACTTGGTTGGTGGAAAAACTCCAACCTTTTAAATCCTCCATCTTGTTTATTCTCTCACCTGTCCTTGGCAGACAGATTTCCACGCACATAATTGTAAACGAATAACAAATATACATTCTGTTTACACTTGTGTTCAGTGTGGTCGAGATCCGTCTCTGACCACCTCTGAATGTGATTTGAGTGATCTGATTGTAGTCCGCTCACAGTGCTCTCTGGGGTGTTTAAATCTGGCTTTTCATATGGTCAAGTGAAATCTGAATCACCGAAAATGCATGTAGATGCAAGGTTTATACAGGCCCAGAAGAAGGTTTCGTGTTCACACTACGAATATTATGTTGCCATATTCGCCCCGACCTCAACTGAAGGTGGTCTGAGTGATTGTATCATGATGCGTCTCCAAGATGCATTGAGCCCCATTTACA